GGAATTTGAATTGTAAAAAAAATGCAGCTTACCCTTCCATCAGGAGTTACAGGGCCAGAATAAGGTGGCTGCTCTCCCATCAACACAGGCCAAATATCAAAGAACTCCTGCAAGAGAATAAAACCTCCGGGTCAGTCTTTGAGAGGGACGTGACAGCCTCTAAATTAAGCATGAAGTCTCTGTTCCTTCCAGCAATTATAGTGATTGACGTACCTTTTCCTTGGTCATGTCCAGTAGGCCCACAGAGTACCTGTCACAGTTGAGATAGGCTCGTACTGTGTACAAAGCTTTGTGAAACTGTCGCTCAATGTCTGTGAGCTCTTCAAACACCTTGTTAGCTGACCACAACAGCAGCTATGCATGAGATACATGAAAAATGCATTTAAAATCTACCTTTTTCAATTCAGTTTTACAATTTTGTCACCTATTATGCAGACGTACCTGTCCTTTTCGTGTCTCACAGTTATGAAGGTAGCTCAGATGAAAAATCTTCAGGTTCAGAGAGCCAACTTTCAGATACTTTAAAAAAAGCTTTAAAAGAAGAGAAAATAACATGATGTCATACCTTTACTGTCTCTTTAAATGCCAATTATGTCTTTACTGTCCCATTTCAACATTTTATAAAAAATATCTAACTCTTCTTGTGAATACTACTGTTGAAAACCAACACACTTAGAAATAATTGCCAGTTAAAATGTGTTCACATAAGTTTTGAAAGACTTTTACAGTTTACTTATTGTTTTCTTATTTAAAATTGAACTTGTGAAGCAAAATAAATTCTTTAAAGTTGTGCTTGTGCTATTTTTACTGGTTTTGAGGCCACTGTAGACTGTATTAATAATAGTGGTGGACAGAAACAGCAAAAAGACACTTACATCCTCATCTTCATCTGTGAAATGGGGTCCAGTAGTCTTGTTGACTGCCATGATGATGCCTACGATGTCTTTTCCATTCATGATGGGTGTGGCCAAGATGTTGCGTGTGGTGTATTCAGTTAGTTCATCAACGAATGAGCTGAAGTGACTGTCCTACAGTGAAAGCAAAGTCAGTTTTGTAACATACAGAATACACTTGTCCCAACGCACTAGTCTTTTTATCACTTACTAACAACTGATATTTGTTGTAGAGTCAGGCTGAAAAAAAACATTTATTTATTAGTTTATTTCTTAATTTAGATACAAATTTGTATTCTTTTGATGTTAAGCACAATATCTCATCACAGTTGAAATACATGCAGTACAAAATAAATTAAAAGACACATTTTAAAGAAATATTTATAATTCACTTTTAACTGTGGCATTTATCTAACAATTAATTATTGCTAATGGAAAAATGACATATGGATATTAGAAAGATTAAAAAAAAACATTTTAGTAACACTTAACAAAAAAGGTCCTATTAGCTATCATTAGTTAATGCATTAACTAACATTTAGTCACAATGAGAAATACATTTGTTACTTTATTTATTAATCTGTTAGTTAATAAAACTATTAACTGTAAGTTTGTGTTAAATAATACATTAAATAATGACATTAAATAATATCAACAGATACAACTTTTGATTTTAATAATGCATTAGTAAATGATAAAATTAACATTAAGTGTAATAAATGCTTTACTTTTGGTTACACTTTATTTGATGGTGTCCTTGTAACAGTGTAATTATACATTTAAGTACTGAGTA